GGAGGAGGGGGCCTGGGCTCAGCAGGGGGCAGGGCCCTTGGGGGACAGGGGCAGAAGAGGCCCGCAGCTCAGGGGAGGCGGGGCTGGCCGGGCCTAGGATGAAGCAACGCCTGGGCAGAGACAAGGAGGGACAGGCCTGTCTGGGCCCCAGGGACCGGCCCACCCCCGGGGAGGGGCCCTATGCTTTCGAAGCCTGTCTGTGTGCCCAGGGCCGGGAGCCCAAGCCCCAGCCCCCTCCCCTGGCGGGGTGTGGGGAGCAAGGACAGGCCAGGTACCTACCTCCTGGGGCAGACAGCGAGAAAGCAGGCAGGACCAGGCGAGGAGAAGGGAAGGCAGAAGAATGGGGTGCCCCCAAGAGCCGCAGCGACAGAGATGGGGTGGGTGAAAGAAGAAATGCGCAAGGGGTGAGACAGAGAACAAGTAAGAGCAGGGAAACACCCAGGGTGGGAGGGAGGGAGGGAGAAGGGGGAGAGAGGGGAGAAAACCAGTTACATCCACACGAGGGGGGACCAGCCAGACCCTCTCCCTCCCTGGGAGGCTGCGAGTCCTGAACCCCAGAGGCGGCCTGAGCACTCTGCGCATCAGTGCCCGGCTTCAGCCCACACTCCCAGGACATGTCTTAGGCCAGGTGGACCCTCCTTTGCGACCTGGAAGATGTTTCTCTCCCCTGGAAGTACCCCCGGTCCTCAGCCCAAGGTGGGTGTGGCGACTCGTGTCAGCCCTGGTACAAACTGGCTTTGTGACCTTATGACAACCTCTTGCCCTCTCTGGACTCCAGCCTGGAGACCCACTTGGGCCCGCACCTTCCTGCTTCAAGGTGACCTGCTTTTACGTTCCTAGTGGTCCCAGGATTATGGTAACAGTCATGATGGCTTTTATTAACCATCTTTGCAAATGTAACTACCGCCATAGATTCCCTTTCCTTTAATTGTTTTAAGGAAGAGATGCCTTTTTCCAATGGCCACAAAGTGAAGAGATGCACATGGGTCATCTATCTGGGCCCAAGGCCACCTCTGACCTGTGGCTACTGGTTGGTGACCCAGCCTCAGTGTCCTCATCCAGGACACAGGAGGGATTCTTGCAGCCGGGAGGGTTTGGAAGAATGGAGGGGAACTAGTCTCTGCTCTCCCCCACCTACTCACAGCCAGGGGCACCATCTGGCTTCAGAGAACCTAAATCCCCCCAGGCCAGTCTGCTTCCTCTGGGGCTGATGCAGGAATCCATCCATGCCAGAGTGTTGGCTGGAAAGAATGATTTGTGTTTAATGTCTGCCAGGACACCTTTGCACCAGGGCAGGCACCTGCTTCTCTGGTTGGAGAAGCAAGGACTTGGTTTACAAGAACAATTCCACGATGGGAGCGGGGGATGAGACCTGGAGGGTGCAAAGCCCTGCCCGAGGCCCTGTGCTGTGCTCTAAGTTCCCTCTAGGCCTCCTGAACTGCCTCCACCATCTGAACTGGACTGTAGTTCGTCATCGGATTCTTGTCTCCCTGAAGCAGCCATACGCTGTCCATTAAGACACCTGTGGCTCCTGTGGCTCCTGCTGTCCCCAGGTGCAGTTCCAGGTTGGCGGCGCTCAGCCTCAGCTCTGCCCTGGAAGCACCTGGGGGGTTCTCCGGTGCCTGACGGCCCCCACGGCCCCCACAGAGCCGGACCTCACAAGTCTGTGGCCTGGCTGTTGGGTTTTGAAAACTCCCCAGTGAATCTCTGGTACGGCCTCAGATAACCCCACAAAAGGGACACACCTGTCTAACCCCTGCTAACTGACCCTGGACTTGCTGGTGCTACGTGTTCCAAGGTGCCTCGCCTGGCCTGCGTTCAGTGCTCTCTAATCCCTTTCCCTCCAGTCACCAAGGTTTATGGAGCCCCTCCTGCAGGCCAGCCCTGTGCTTGGGCTCAGCATTTTTCAGATATGGACACTGAGGTTCAGAGAGGTCAAATCACTTGCCTAAGGTCACACAGTGGGTATGTGTGGAAGCCTAATCTAAGCCCAGGCCACTAACTTGCCTTCGCAGAGGCAGCCAGTGGGGTCAGGAGGGGACGTACCCAGCTTAAGGAGCCAGCCCTCCCGGTCCGGATTGAAAAAGGTGTGGGTCAGATCATTCCCATCGTCCTCAGGAATCTTGAAGGGCTCATTCCGGATGCTGTCATAGAGGTTCTGAGGGACAAGGGCTCAGTCAGCAACTCCAGACCTCAGGGACACCCCCACCCCCTCTGGGCGACCTGGAGGGCTCCAGTAGCCAGGGAAGAAATATGACCATGGTTGGGACAGCCCAGGATGGGAGAGGGGAAGACGGGGGGCTGAGGAGGAAAGGGAAGAGGAAGGCCGAGAGTGGAGGGAGCCCCAGGGAGCAGAGGAAGGAGGAAAGAAAGACGCAGGGACGACACACAGTTTTAAGAGCCAGCGAAGTTCTCAGGGAGAAATAGACACAGAGGTGGAGAATGAGCAGACCAAGACCCCGAAAGAGTCAGAGGCCAGAGAGAGAGAGAAAAGAGAAACAGGCAAAGTCCGAGGCAGCCAGAGAGAAGAGGCAGAGAAATGGACAGGCTGGCATGGCCACGCATTCTGTGGGCAGCGGGAGCCCCGGGGAGTAGCTCAGGAATGGGGAGAACCTTGGGGAGGAGGGTCTGGGGCAGGAAGAGGGCCGGGTAGGAGGGGTTGTGGGGAGGGAAAAGGGGTCCTCCTGACCCTCAGTAGCTCCTCAGGCAGGTCCCCACCCTCGTTGATGCCCCGATTCATGGCCACAAAACGCTCCAGGCCCGGCTTGTCCCGGACGTTGGGATTGTGAAGGCTGGTGTTCAGCATGATGACGGCGAAGGACAGCACGTAGCATGTGTCTGCACCAGACAGTCAGGTGGTGATGACACAGGGACGTGGCCCCCAGCCCTCTTTCTCAGGCCCCAGGGGTCGGGGCCCCTACCTGTGGACTGGAAAACCCCGGGGTTGCACAGGCAGTATCGCTGGGCAAAGGCTTCCATCATCCGGTCAATCTTCTGGGCCTCTCCGGGAAGGCGGAAGCTCCACAGAAACTGCCTGGGTAAGAGAGGAGCCGGCTGTGGACACGGGGCTGGAAGAACCCCTCCCTCTCAGTCCGAATTAGGAACTGGCTGGTACGAGCTCCAAACTTGTGGCCACAGCAGCTGTTCCAGGTATGGATACGTGATCCAGTATGACCAGTGAGCACTGCCATGGGACTTGCAGTGGATTTACATGGAAAAGCCTTTCTTCTGCTAAGGTTGCTAAATAGGTCTGGTGGTGGCTAA